TAAATACTGATTGAGTTTACCGAAATTTAATTTCCAAAGAGACGAGAAAAACGATGGCTGCTGGACAACTTATAATCTTTTGTAACAAACCTGCGTTAACACTCCTAATTCTCTGTTCTAAAGATCAGATGCTAACATACTTTGAACATAGAAATGTTTTTCTAGATCTCAGCCGTAATAAAAGCGGGCTTCTCCGATGCGACGAGAACGACAACACATTCCTACAGGCGCCTACGCAGGTATTTTGTTTCTCCGGTATCTGTTCAATACTTATTGGAATAAATTTCATATTATGATTAGGCGACATATTTAAAGTTATTTATGCTTTAGATCAGAGGTTCCCAAACCTTTTTGTCTGGTAGGCAACGTGCCAATGCTTTCTCTATTACTTTGACCCCTTGCCTGTCTAATATCGATTTTTGTACAAATTCATCAACTTCAAATGTACATTTGACAGCTGACACAGTGCTACTAATTTTGATAAGTGACAGAGCGTCTTTATAAAAAAAAATTAAATAAAAAAATCAATATTAGACACATACGTTGCGCTGATTCCGAAGTAATTAATTATAGCACATGTGTTATGGAAATCGTAAATGACGGTACCACACACACCCACAACCAAGACAATATAGAAAAGTTAGTTTTCAACAGCGACTCGGCTGGAGTTCGAATCCGGGACGTTAAAGATACGACACCTTGAAAATTAGTGTGCAATCCACCCAACCACATAAGTCGTTAAGTTTTACACATTTATCTGACTGAATATCTTGTTTATTGTGAAATGTTTACTTCTTAGATAATTTATGTGTCTATTAAAAGACGTTGGTACGATCTATGTAATATGAATTGTTCTATTTTCATGGAAAGCCAAAATTTTTGTGACGACCCCCCTAAACGGGCCCACTCTCGTGGAACAATTTTGTTAACGCTGACATTGGCCCCTCGTAGACTAGAATGGACCTCTGGGGGTCAATTAGACTACTTTGGAAATCACTGCTTTAGAATTTAGTTTACTGCGTAACTGTTTTCACGTCTCATAATGGTTTTTATCTATGGCAATACGTTAAGAGTCGATACTAGCTCAGCTGGAATTCAAAATTTTCCTCGGTTCATTTTGCTTGGATCAAGCGGCATTTCGGAATTTATTTTTTTTACAAACGAAATGTATATCGTATACTATATTGGTTCTATTTAGTTCAGTTGATATAAAAAAAATATTGGTATATCGATCCGCCCTACGTAAAGTATCGTATGTCGAAGTTGCCAAGTTTGCAGAGGCGCCTTTTAAAGTTCTGAATTCACTGAAATAAGCACAACACGTGCTTTTAGTATTTGTCAGTTTTATTCGGCAAAGTCGTTACTCACATAGAGTATTACAAAATCCTAGATTTCGGTTAGATGATGTGTGATCGTCTATTAGATGATCACTCTATGTGAGTAACGAGCTTTGCCGAATAAAACGGAGATCTTTAATTCAAATTCAAATTCAAATTCAAAATATTTAATTCAGATAGAAATCCATATTGGTTAGTAATACAAAAACAACTTACACACTAATGTTAGTACCTAATAATAATTACAGGGAAGAGTGTTTATTTGCAACATTCGTTTACAAATAAACACTCTTTTTTGGGTAAACATGAAGGCTGTCCAGCGCTCAAAAAATGAACCCTGGACCCTGCCTGCAATGACGTTCAGGAGGCTGTTACCGCTGCCACGTAATCTGTGCGTTAAGGAGGCCACCCTTTTCCGTAAAATAGCGGGAAACCCATCTACCTGGGCCACGGCGAACATTTCCGAAGCGCTACAGAATCATGGCAGCCGCAACAGCATCCTGAATACATTATTATAAATAACTCGCAGGGAGCCAAGTGCTTTCTGGGTGTAGTTGACCCATAGGCCGGCATTAAAAGGCTCCCCTGTAAACTTGGCAATTTCGACTTACGATACTTTACGTAGGAGCGGTCGATATGTAAATTACTTATTGAATACAGTGGTTATCTTGTTAAATTTCGACGTAAGTTTTTTTTCTATTGTGAAAATATTAAGGAATCGTGTTTTACCGTATACTAGTCAATTCATATCCACAATTTTTCTATACATTTTTTCCAAAGTGGTAGATTCCACACTTTCACTGTTATGCGAAATCAATCAAAGCTATTTGAAGTTGTATCGATTCTTAAGGACACTGCCTTATTTTAAGCTCCTTTCATTCGTTGCAATTGTACAGGGTGGCGCAAGGAAACGGGAAATTTTAAATGTAGTTGTGACAACCCTGAGGAGCTGGTAGATAGGTTAGAGTGGTATCCTTTAATGTAAAATTGTTTGCCTTTTGGTAACCATGGACCAGTTTGCTCACATTTGCTGTGACGTCAGCTATTTGGTAACCATGTAATTTTACTGTTTGACCCATAAAGTCATCAGTTTTTCCTGGTTGAAACAAGGATTTGAGAAGAAATCGCTGCGATCCCCAAGGAAGTTTCTTTTATATGATTTTAAGTGTGACAGGGCTAACGAGTCGTGCGCCTGGTGGTAAGCGACACGCCTGTCCATATTAGTTGCAATGCCGTTCAGGGCTTTAAATCGCACAGATCTGAGGGGCACTGCCGCTGCACTTATCACTCTGATACCAAAAGTTCCGACCTTTAAAACCGTAACGGAGTAATGCTTACATTATTGCTTCCCGGCAGAAATAGGTAAGGCGGCAATATATTCCCTGGACAGAATCTTTCCCAAAAAGCTCTACAGCTACTGTTCAAGGAAGTATTTCTAAGTGCCATGCGTAATCTCAGCGTTTGCTTCCATAAGCGACATTGTTTTAAGAAACTGTTTTTTTTTTTGTTAGAACACTTGATGGCACGTCATTTACTCTTACTTTCAACAACGAAACTAGACAATTCCTGTCTTTACCGCCAAGCAGTAACGTGAGCATTACTGCGTTCCAGTTTTAAAGGGTAAGGGGTAGTAATAAAATTACAGGCACATCGTCTCAGGGTGACGGGTCTTAAAGAGACCCCTCAGATCTTAGAAAATCTTGTAATTTATAGCTCTGAGTAGCAATGCAATTGCTGTAGACTGTGTGTTTCTGAGTTACGTCAAAGTTTTCCATTTCCTTGAGCTACCCTACAAGTAACCAAGCAGAAGGTAGACAAGTAGTACGTTGGTAGTGGACCACAATTTAAAAAGACAGTGTTACTTCTAAATAATGTTGAAAATTACTATACCGATATTTTTAGGACGACAGTTCCACCTCTCCATCTCCGAACAAACTGCATAAAAGCCCCTGGGTGAAGATGAAGGACATAATCCAGACGCACCGCGATTCTGTTAAGAAGAAGTCCAGGGGACTCAAGACCTCCCCTGACGTGGTACCGGCTAGGAGACGATCATTGAGCGATGGTGGAGACAGCGATGCGCCTCCGGCGTTAACGTTGACTATACCTTCCTCTGAGGAACTTGGTAAGTTTTTTACGAAAAAGCATAAAATTGGTCTTGCTAAGGTCACCTGAAAGACAAAGGCCTCTAAAGGTTCGTGCTTACGACGGTGAAGCTAAGAAAACTTGAATAAAGAAACACTCAACCGCACAGGGTCATTGTTATACTACAGTGTAAAAAGACAAGTATGTTAACTTCATACAAACGTAGCACCGCGTTTTGTATGTGTGCGTGCCGACCGTGAGTCGTGTACAGACGCACACATACGCATAATTTCGCGATGCACTCTCGTTGCGTAGGTAGTGCTGGTCGTCTTACGCGCCTTGGAACGAATGTGTGCGTGTTCAAACAAGGCGCGCGGTATGCACACACATGAACCGCGCCACTGCGTATGGTTATACCATTATTATTATCATCTTTCCGCCTTCCTCTGCCCATGATCGCAACGTACAAACAACGTGCAACGGACAAGACGTAGGCAGAGGCCCCTGTGTTGTAGATATTCCAAGGACACGAAGCGTAAACGCTCCCACATTTATACGGCGAATTTACAACATTATTTATTATTATTGAACAGCATTATGTACTCCACTATTCTACGTGAACTCTTCACTGAACAGAATGTGGTGAACCTCATCCTATACTCCGCAAGCAGCGTTCCTTGGAGCTGGGTGCCCGGCCTCCACTACACCCTCCGCCTCGCGCCTCTAAATGGACCAAAGTGAAAAGAGCCTTTCTAACGTCGGCTTCAGCGTCTGTCCCGTCCAGTCCTAGCAGACACTCTGCGTTTTTTACTGATGCTGGTAAGTGGATTTATTTTATATTAGTTACTTTCAATGTATCTCGAAAAATTATTTGTGTTAAATTAAAATGAAGTTTTATCAAACGAATAGGTATTGTTGATTATGTCTCTAGAATATAAAAACAATTTCCTTTTGAAACCATACAATCATATATCTTTGTTACCACTTGAAATGAGTAGGAGTTTAAAGTAGCAAACTCAAGCTAGTGTGATTGAAGTGATTGTTCAATCACGATTCACGATATGGATTTAAAGATGAAGATTAATTTAACCAGTTTCGTAAAAAGATACAAATATTTTTATTTGATTAGTGGTGGTCGCGTAATGTTCGAAGTTGGCATTAAAATTAAAAACAGTCAAAAAATATTACGAGTAAACACATTGACTTACAAATAAATGGACGACGGGTCTAATACAAAAACCACGAAAAAAATGTCCCAAGTCAACCTATTTAAACATGTAAAGGAATATGAAAAAGCTAAAACGTTGAATTTAAATTGTAACGTCATCGCAGTACTGTCTAATTTTGCTTGCTTCGCTGTCAGTCGAACAAACGGAGACTAAAGCGTGAATGACGCTCTGTATACGATTTTAACGCCCTATAAGTTCGGACACTTTTTAGCGCGGACCCGACGTCCATATAATTGTAAGTCAATGAGTAAACATGTCAAAATTACCAACCAATAGTCAACAATAGACCAACACAGTAAAAATTAACGATATATATGTATGTAGGTACTAGCATTCATCGAATAAAATTGACGAATAAGAAATTTCCTGCCAGACCAGAACAAATTTAGAGGAATTGCTTTTTTTTAATTGGTCCAAACGAAGATCAAAGCCCACAGAAAATCTTACCGTTACTAAAAAGCCGATTCAAATTTCAAATGTCTTTTATTAAATACGTAATCAAATCTCAGTAATTTCTAATTGACTACTTCTAACCTAGATTTCCCTGAGAAGATTAATAAAAAACTCTAGGATTTGCTCTTTGTAAATTAGTTTTTGTTCATATTTCGCACTCTTGGTCTAATAAAGTATCTGACAACTTTTCTAAATAAAGGCATAAGGATTCTACGTACGAAATTAATCGGATCACTTTATTAATAATAAATTAAACTTAATAAAAATTCATTCAATAAAATAATTTGTAAAACTTAATGTAGCGTAAATTGGAATGTTTTCTTTGTAAAATTAAAAATAAGGTATTTAATTAATAACTATTGTAACTATAGTGAAAAAATAGGGTGGTTTGCATTAATATTAGACATAACTGGTTGAAGACTGTACCACCTCAGTCAACCGTGACCATCGGACCTGTAAAGGGCCCGAAACGTCGGTTTGTTTGAAAAAACAAATATACGCGATTTAATCCGTAAAAATAGTTTCATTTCCTATAAGTTATTTAATTAATAACTTTCGTAAAAATAGGTTGTATTGCATTAATATTAGACATAACTGGTTGACGGCTCTACCACCTCGGTCAACCCAAGTAAAGGGCCCGAAACGTCGGTTTGTTTAAAAAAAACAATAATACGCGGTTTGAATCTAGAAAAATACTGTCATTTCCTATGTGTAACAATCGACGAACCTAAAAACTCGATATATACAAACTGATCAGTTTGATTTGTCATTTGCCAAATGGACTTGTAGTCTATATTTGAAAACTGTTCGTCTTAACCCCACACTAGATATGATTCATCAGATTCCTGTCCGTAATATTGTTTATAAATAAAACTTGCGCGTACTCTGTAAAGGGAAAACCCGTTTTAAATAAATACGGTTGGTGGATACAAGCATATTTGCTAGTCATCTTGCTATTTTTGTTCAACATAGTAAGTATTTATTTATTTATTTATTTATTTCAACTTTATTGTACAATACACTAAAGTACAAACGGCGGACTTAATGCCATAAGGCATTCTCTACCAGTCAACCATTGGGCCAAACAGAAAAAAAAACACAATAGGTTGGTGCTACACTTAAACAAGAAGAACAATATACTAGAAAACTAATCGATAATTTGTATGGTATAAATAAATAACATACTATAAACATACTTATTATGCAAACATAATAAACTTACATATATATATTATAATAATAAATAATATGATATATGTACCCAAAGCAACATTATACAGTGTCTTAATTTTGACAATTGTCAAACAGATGCTTGCGCAACATGCGCTTGAAAGATAATTTGGTCTGAGCTTGTCTTACACGGAGCGGGAGCGCGTTCCAAAGACGAATTGCATGAAGGGTAAAAGAATTAGACAAAAAATCAGTGCGATGAGAAGGAATAGAAAGTATAGACAAGCTCGTCTAGTTGTACTATTGGAGTGTGGTTCTTTAGCTTGCTTCATATTTATTGTAGTACTAGATCTCCTTGTGAAAGAGTTTGTCCAGGGAAGTACTGCCACTTTACCTATTTCTACTGCCAAGCAGTATTGTGAGCATTACTGCGTTCCGGTTTGGAAGGGTAAGGGTGCTGGTGAAATTACAGGCATATGGGACTTGTCAATTTATGGATCAGGGTGACGGGTATCCCTTAGATCTTTGCGGTTTAAAGTGGCAATGCAATTGTCATGGATAGGCATGTCGCTCGGCACTTCGTCTGTGTATCTCGATACCTCCGATTAACACTACGCCGACATAAATTTTTGATTCGTTTGTTTTTTTTTGCAAGATTCGTTTGTTTTTTTATTTTGTTTTTTGTTGGTTTCACAAAATACTAGTAAATAAAATGACGTTTTATGTTATTTACTAATTTTTTATTTTATTTTCACTTATCAGACCGACATGAAGCAGTAGACCTTTTTGTGAAAGTGCCACCTTGCCATTAAATATCGTAACTAAATCAGTCGTATGATCCTTTCAAAAGAGATCATTCTCAATAATCGCCGTATCAAAATTAGTTTATTTGACATGCAATACAGTACAAGAAAAAATTATGAAAATTAATTGTGGCAACTTACATATATTTCTGTTATTTTCGCGATTTTTACGTATTCTAAATGAAACTATCACAGACGTATAGAGCCTGAAACTTTGATTGGTTTGAAGAAATAGTATCATTTCAAGAAACAGTAGTTGTAGTAGAAATAGAGTTCGTCCAATATAGTATTGCCGCCTTACATATTTCTGCCGCCAACATCGAGTATATAACCAGAAATAGATACGAAATGTCGTTTTAATTTGTTTGAAAACTATTCTGCCATATCATTACTGTGACAACTGCGCTCCGATTGGCTAGCCCGAGTTCGAAATAATTGACGGATGTCGTCAACTGTTTCACTTCAAATCGACCAGGTAACTTGAGCTTTGCTATAATGGACGAAAATTGCAAAATTACATATTAAATATTTAATTACCGATGAAATGTTATTCCGTTTGTTTTGTAATTAGATGTTTTGCTGTTTTTCCCACAACACCGAATAGAACAGCACGGCATTGTTAGAGATATTATCTTTATTACAATAAATACGGAATATTTTTTGGAATATACGGAGACGTACACACAGGTCAGTCTATATTTCAGTGCAAACGAGGGTTAATATTTATAAGAGCTGTATCGCTAATGTGTTACCAGTCAGGAATACATGGCCGTTATTTCGTCTCTATTTCTGGTTATATACTCGATGGCCGCCAAGCAGAAAAGTCATTATTACTGCGTTTCAATTTTGAAGGCTAAGTGAAATTGTGTGTGAAAATGAGTTTTTTCAACATATGTCTCACGCGACAGGCGCAGTGGCAGTGCCACTCACGCCTTTCGGATTTAAGGCTCTGAGTATAAAACAGTTAGTCCAGGGAAGTATACTGCCACCTTACTTATTTCTACCGCCAAACAGTAATGTGAATATTACTGGATTTCGGTTTTGGAGGGTGCTGGTGAAATTACAGACACATTGGACTTGTCAATTTATGTCTTATATGTTAAAATCTTTGCGATTTAAGACTGATCGGAACTGCAATTGTCATGGACCAGTCGCGCAACTTTTTCGTCCCGTCACGTCGTATCATAATGATAATAATCTACTCTCTCACAACGTAGTTAAGTGGGATACATACATTAAAAGACTTTTTTGAAATGTGTTCAACACGTTGTAGACAAATGTAGAGGTATTTCGGTAACGTCACTCAGGACGGATCTAATGTCGATACAGACACGTCATAAGGAGCCTTGGTAATATTAATAACACAAATCGTATTTTATTTAACAGTTAGTACGGACACTGACTATTGGAAAGCTATAAAGTTTCTTAGTAACGTGTGCATATGTACAAAGAACGTTGTAGGTACGTATGTATGTAAGCACTTTACTGTATCCCAAAAACAAATGACTATAATGTGAAGAACAATTTAAAACACGCTCGTGTTTATGCCGTAAATGGATTTCTTTCAACTAACTTTTAAATGACTCGGCTGGGCAGCGTTTGGGAAATGACGCCATATCTTTTTGTTCAAAATACCGTGTCTCAGGACAAAAGTCTTCGACCAGTGTATGTTGCCAGTGACGACTTACGGCACTGAGACGTGGTCAGTCAGTATGGGCATCATAAGAAGATTCAAGGTCATTCAAAGGTTAATGAAAAGGACCATGCCCGGAGTTTCATTGCGAGATCGAATCAGTAATGAGGATATCCGCAAGGGAACCAGAGTAACCGACATAGCCAAAGAATTGCAAAACCTAAGTGGCAGTGGGCAGAGCACACTGCTCGCAGAACAAATGGCCAATGGGGCCGAAGAGTTCTCGAGTGGCGTGGGCAGACCACCCACAAGATGGACTGGTGATCTGGTGAAGGCTGCGGGAATCCACTGGATGCAAGCGGCGCAAGACAGGTCGTTGTGGCATTCTTTGGGGGAGGCCTATGTTCAGCAGTGGACGTCTTTTGGCTGAAATGGTGATGATGATGAACCTTTAAATAATTAAGAGGATATTTGAAGCTATCAACGTAAAAGTGGTGTAACCTCTTCTTCTTCTTCTTAGAGTTCCTCTCC